TAGACTAGACTATAGACTAGACTATAGACTAGACTATAGACTAGACTATAGACTAGACTATAGACTAGACTATAGACTAGACTATAGACTAGACTATAGACTAGACTATAGACTAGACTATAGACTAGACTATAGACTAGACTATAGACTAGACTATAGACTAGACTATAGACTAGACTATAGACTAGACTATAGACTAGACTATAGACTAGACTATAGACTAGACTATAGACTAGACTATAGACTAGACTATAGACTAGACTATAGACTAGACTATAGACTAGACTATAGACTAGACTATAGACTAGACTATAGACTAGACTATAGACTAGACTATAGACTAGACTATAGACTAGACTATAGACTAGACTATAGACTAGACTATAGACTAGACTATAGACTAGACTATAGACTAGACTATAGACTAGACTATAGACTAGACTATAGACTAGACTATAGACTAGACTATAGACTAGACTATAGACTAGACTTTAGACTAGACGAGACTATAGATTACACTATAGACTAGACTATAGACTAGACTATAGACTAGACTATACTAGACTATAGACGAGACTGTATAATACACTACAGACTAGTCTAGTATAGAGAGCAGTCTATAGCAAAATAATAATGAAATATTTAAAATGCATGATATTTTATTTCTTTCAGTGTATTTATTAAGGATAGTATTCCTCTTTGAAAAGCATAAAATACCAGTTTACATTTTGAAATAAAATTTTTATATAATTAAAATATTTTCTTGGAGTAAAAATTTTCCAAATTCCTCAAAAGAAACCTTCCCTAGTAAACATTTTTGTGTAGATATAAAACAAAGTAAAACTTCAAACCTAACAAATGCATTGTGATCTCGGAAGTTTTTATGTTATACAACACCAGCAGCACCCCCACCCCTACTCACACAACTTTCACCCATACATTTTCACCTCCAGGCAATAAATGTCTGCGTAAACAACAGCAACAAACAACTACGGCAAACAAAAAACAACAATAAGAACTTTCAACATGTTGCTGTAATAAAATCATTACTCTGTACAAAAGCACTGCCGGAGGAGGACTGTGAATTGAATGCAAGGAAAAGAAGTAGGAACAACTTCCTTTTATAGCGTCTGCTGAGGTTACTGCTGCTTTGTGTCTATTCCTGTTTCTGCTTTTGATTTTATGTTTTGAACGGACAGACGGACAAAAACTTACATTCATACTTTTGTACAATCAAAGTATAATTTGGTATATTATTTTCATTCTTTCAGTTGATGTTGTTTGCTATTGTTGTTAGTGTGAGAAGGAGAGATTTTATATAGAGTTATTATTGTTTTTATTTCTGTTCTAACAACAACAACAACATTTACACATACAATATAATTTGTTGCTTGTTTTACAACAAGGCAACAATGAATATAAATTTTATGTTAAAACTCACACACTCTAACACATTTTATTACATCTAAACATACACACACATCCTTGCACACACCCACTCACACTCCCACATACATGCAAACACATTCAGTTCTGTCGTGTTTCTAAAGCATAATTTTAGGCATCAAGGTCATTAAGATGTGTCACAAAAGGACATTTTTAGCTGTTTTTACTCTCGAAAGCAATAAAACTGTCTGTAAAATTTATTTTTTGTTGTATAAACTTCTCTTACTAATGCCATAATTTTAATAAGGAAACGGCAAAAAAAGGAAAACGCACTAGAAATTAGTCCTTATTAAGGCTGACAAAGGAATGTGTTAATTTTGTTATTGTTGTTGTTTTATGTTTAGAGCTTCTTAGTGCGAACAAGAAAAGGAATTTTATAACTAAAAGCAGCCATATTTTAAAGACAAAATTTATGGGTAAATGACCTCATACTTTACACCGAAAATTAAAAAAAAAAAAATTAAAATATAGAAAAACTGCCAGATTTTGTTTCCTTTTCGTTCGCTCGCCTCTTTAAATTTTGTTTGTTGTCTTTTAAATACCCTCTAAAAAGTTCAAAAGGCTGGAACTGGTTCTTTTTTCACTCTGTGATTTTTTTTGCAAATTACCCCTAAATAGAAAATTTCCACAAAATCTACTAATGAAAAGTTGTTTAGTGCGGTGAAGACGGCTTTAGAAAAAATAATAAACATTTTTATAAAAGTCTCGATGTTTTTGCAAACTTATCTTTTTGTAGACCCTTTTTATTTTTCGACCATAAAATGCCAACAGATGTTAACGAAATGAAATTATTGTTTTAGAAAAAAATAAGCTAACAACTGGTGAAACAAAAACAGAACAAAAAATAATAAAAAATAAAACAGCTTAAATTGAAAAAAGCTAATCCTTTACAAGTTATTTTAAAAAATGGCCTAAAGATTTTTTAATTCAGATGGTTAAATAAGTAGCAATTAGAGCCACGACAATATACTGAAGTTGCAGCGGATTCATCAGTTAGATTCTAGTCTATTGTACAGTCTATGGTCTATCTATAGTCTACTCTAGAGTATAGTCGTATTCTTGACTATGGAATAGACTATGGACTAGTCCCTAGTCTAGTCGGTAGTCTAGTCTATAGTCTAGTCTATAGTCTAGTCAATAGTCTAGTCTATAGTCTAGTCAATAGTCTAGTCTATAGTCTAGTCTATAGTCTAGTCTATAGTCTAGTCTATAGTCTAGTCTATAGTCTAGTCTATAGTCTAGTTTAGACTATAGTCTAGTCTATAGTCTAGTCTATAGTCTAGTCTATAGTCTAGTCTAGACTATAGTCTAGTCTATAGTCTAGTCTAGACTATAGTCCAGTCTATAGTCTAGTCTAGACTATAGTCTAGTCTATAGTCTAGTCTATAGTCTAGTCTATAGTCTAGTCTATAGTCTAGTCTATAGTCTAGTCTATAGTCTAGTCTATAGTCTAGTCTATAGTCTAGTCTATAGTCTAGTCTATAGTCTAGTCTATAGTCTAGTCTATAGTCTAGTCTATAGTCTAGTCTATAGTCTAGTCTATAGTCTAGTCTATAGTCTAGTCTATAGTCTAGTCTATAGTCTAGTCTATAGTCTAGTCTATAGTCTAGTCTATAGTCTAGTCTATAGTCTAGTCTATAGTCTAGTCTATAGTCTAGTCTATAGTCTAGTCTATAGTCTAGTCTAGTTAGTCTCTAGTTCTAGTCTATAGTCTAGTCTATAGTCTAGTCTATAGTCTAGTCTATAGTCTAGTCTAGTCTATGTCTAGTCTAGTAGGTCTATAGTCTAGTCTATAGTCTAGTCTATAGTCTAGTCTATAGTCTAGTCTAGTCTATAGTCTAGTCTATAGTCTAGTCTATAGTCTAGTCTATTAGTCTAGTCTATAGTCTAGTCTATAGTCTAGTCTATAGTCTAGTCTATAGTCTAGTCTATCTAGTCTATAGTCTAGTCTATAGTCTAGTCTATAGTCTAGTCTATAGTCTAGTCTATAGTCTAGTCTATAGTCTAGTCTATAGTCTAGTCTATAGTCTAGTCTATAGTCTAGTCTATAGTCTAGTCTATAGTCTAGTCTATAGTCTAGTCTATAGTCTAGTCTATAGTCTAGTCTATAGTCTAGTCTATAGTCTAGTCTATAGTCTAGTCTATAGTCTAGTCTATAGTCTAGTCTATAGTCTAGTCTATAGTCTAGTCTATAGTCTAGTCTATAGTCTAGTCTATAGTCTAGTCTATAGTCTAGTCTATAGTCTAGTCTATAGTCTAGTCTATAGTCTAGTCTATAGTCTAGTCTATAGTCTAGTCTATAGTCTAGTCTATAGTCTAGTCTATAGTCTAGTCTATAGTCTAGTCTATAGTCTAGTCTATAGTCTAGTCAATAGTCTAGTCTATAGTCTAGTCTAGTCTATAGTCTAGTCTATAGTCTAGTGAATAGTCTAGTCTAGTAGTCTATAGTCTAGTCTATAGTCTAGTCTATAGTCTAGTCTATAGTCTAGTCTAGTCTATAGTCTAGTCTATAGTCTAGTCTATAGTCTAGTCTATAGTCTAGTCTATAGTCTATAGTCTAGTCTAGTCTGCTAAACTTTTTCACATGACTGTAGATATTTTCATTTTTGTTTTGAATTCTTTAACTAGTAAAACATACAATTTTATATGAAATTGAATTTTTGTACAACATTTTGTGCAATTAATTGGGGTTAGACAAAATGGTGTAAATTAATACACATGAAAAAAAAACTGTATAAAAATTTATAAAATTAAGAGAAAATCACGAAAACTGTAAACTTTCGTAACTTCATAATATTCTAGCAAAAAATTTAAATTTATTTATAAATAAATATATAAAAATATTTTAATGTTTATAAAAATTATTGTTAAATTTTTTTTCTCTGTGTCCTTTTTTTGTTTGTTCGAGTGCCTAGCACAAGAGGCCTTTTTTTAAAAACGATAACTATGAACATGAAAAGTATCCTGTTGTATGCCTGTTGTACATATAATTTTTGTTTAGCCCATTAGAATACTCATTAAATATAATATTATTTAATTTAATTATTTTTGGTGTGTGTTTTTCCTCTGCACACACATACATACATACGTAAGTTATATACATTTATTTTAATGTAGTTGGGGGTTTTTAATGGTAGTGGTGACATTGTGGTTTACCTCTTATGAGAATTTTTATTTAAACTGTTTTAGACGGTAAATGATTTTAATTAATTTAATTTATTTATAAAAATAAAACATTATACATGAGTACTACTGCTTTTGAATGGATTTTATAGGTGTGAGCTAATGTTAGTTTAAGGTGAGGTGCAGGAGATTAGGTATACAATTTTGATTGCGAATAAGAGATGTTATATAAAGATTTCAAAGTTTAGTTTGTGGTATTGTTGTGTTAAGGAGCTGGTTACACCTTTCTAGAAACAGAAGTAACTTGTCTAGATAATTTTAATTAGATACCAGATATTTCAATTTCTGAGTTCCTAAAAAATAATTAATTTAGAAACCTGTCTTTATTCTGTTCCATTTTATTTATTTCAAAAACTTATTCATATTTTTTAAATTGTCAATAAAATTGCATCAAAAATATGTCAGAAAGCTGCTTAAACATTGAAAATCTTGATAAGGAAACCACCGCCAACAATGAAGCTACTTCTTCACATAATATCTATCTTAAACGTTTAATGGCTGGAGCTAACAAAAATGAGCCTGAAGACAAGGATGAAAAAGAAGATGATTTACCTACCGTAGAATATGAAGCTGAGGAAATTGCCACCAAAAAAGTAAGACTTGATGTAGAGCTTTCCGAAGAAACTTTACCGACCAAAAAGAGCCGCAAAGCTTTAATACAACATTGGTCAAAAGTTGCCCTATTATTTATTATATGGTGCATTTACGCCATATCCATAGTGACTCATAAAGAACAATTATATAAACCATTATTGTTGGCTCTAGCACCCAAGCAGGATAAATTTGTTCAATTACAACCGGAGCCCAGTACAAAAACAGCCATAGAGGTTTTAGTAAAAGGACCTTTTCAAATTGAACAGGATGTGGAGGTCATACCCCAGGAAACTCAACCACAATTAACCCTACAAGTGCTTATGGTTGCAGAAGACAATAAAGAGACCATAATATCCAAAAAATGGGGTTTATTAATCGAAAGGCCCCAAGAATTGGAATATGTTTTGGCCGTGCCTAAGCAAATACACATGAATCTAAATGAAGATATTAGCCGGCTTAAACAAAAAGCCAAATTATTTTTGAAACTCAAAACCAATATAGAAAAGGATTTAACTGTGAAGCTATCGTGTAATATGACCCCTGTGGATCAGACTTTGGGCATTATTTATGGCACTTTTGTTTTATTATTCTTGTATATAATGATAATCTGGGAATTTATAAATCGCACTTTGGCCTCGGTAGTGGCATCTACTTTAGCCATTGGCATTTTGGCTGCTTTAAATGCCCGTCCTTCTACCGAAATCATTTTAAAATGGTTGGATGTGGAAACCTTAATGCTGCTGTTTGGCATGATGATTTTGGTGGCCATACTCTCGGAATCGGGTATTTTTGATTACTTAGCGGTTTTGGCCTATGAATTGGCCAGAGGTGAACTGTTTTATTTGATTTATGTTTTATGTTTTTTCACCGCTTTTCTATCGGCCTTTTTGGACAATGTAACCATGATGTTGCTCATGACTCCCGTTACCATACGTCTATGTGAGGTCACCAATCTTAATCCTGTGCCGGTATTAATGAGCATGGTTATATATTCTAATGTGGGTGCAGCCCTAACGCCCGTAGGAGATCCTCCCAATATAATTATCATGACCAATCATTATGTAGAAACTAATGGTGTCAATTTTGGCAATTTTATAGCACACATGCTGCCGGGAGTGGTATTGGGTCTTTTAACCACTTTTGCTTTTTTATATGTGAAATATCCCAAAATATCGGGTTATATGAATAAACAGTCTGTGGAAATTGAGGCCTTGAAACATGAGATTCAAGTATGGGAAAAGGCTGCCCAAAATATACAACCCATCACTACAGATGAGGAAATTGTGCAAAATACTTTACAGAAAAAAGCTCATGTCTTGAGGCAAAAGCTTAAAGAACTGGAAGCCAAAGGAGTTTATATGGAGGTTGACTACAAGACAACTTTGGAGCAAATGAAAGCCTCCTATCCCATACGCAATAAGGTTCTATTGATAAAAGCCTCCATTTCATTTGCTTTCGTTTTGGTGCTATTTTTCCTGCATACGGTACCGGATTTGCAACATCTTTCTTTGGGCTGGAGTGCTTTAGTGGGTGCCATACTCCTTTTAATACTAGCAGATACCGATATAGAAGCTGTTCTATCTAGAGTGGAATGGTCTACTTTACTATTCTTCTCCTCTTTGTTTATATTAATGGAGGCTTTGACGGAATTAGGTCTTATAGGCGCTTTGGGCGATATATGTGTCAAATGTATTTTAAAAGCTGAACCACAACAACGTCTTTTAGTGGCCATTTTAATAATATTATGGATATCTGGCATAGCCTCGGCTTTTCTGGACAACATACCTGTTACCACCATGATGATCAAAATTGTGGTTAACTTAAGTCAAAATAAGGAATTAGATTTGCCCCTGCCACCCTTAGTATGGGCTTTGGCATTTGGTGCTTGTTTTGGCGGTAATGGCACTTTGATAGGAGCCTCGGCTAACGTGGTCTCCTCGGGTGTGGCCGAACAACATGGTTATCGTTTTTCATTTATAGATTTTTTCATATTTGGTTTTCCCATTATGTTATGTACTTTAGTAGCCGCCACTATTTATCTCTATTTGGCTCATTGCTTTTGGACTTGGCATTGAGTAAACGTATGTGTACCAAAATTTGTTAAAATTGTTAAAAAACGTTAAAAAAATAAATCCTTTAAACAAAATTGTTTTTTAATAATGTTAGGGTTTCATTTGGGGTTGGCTTTTTGTTTCAGTTGTACGCAATCAATCACGATTTAAGGTTGTTTTTTTTTCGATAATCGTTTGATCGTGATTTGCGTGATTTTTTTTTTCCTTAGTTGTTCTTCATTTGTTCTGCTTTTAAGCCTATTCTTTGCTACAATTCAATTTTCATTGCATATTATGCTTATACTTTTGTTTTCAACAACATTGTTTTTTAAACGTTAAAATAAACATAAATAAATATTGTTGCTAAATTACATATTTCATTTCAATTTACTTTTTCTACCTTCTATTTTGAACATTTTTCATTTAAGCAACCTTTAAGAGAGTGAAGTAAAAAGAAGTTAGTGATCATAATAAAGTTTTATGAATTTGAAAAATCGTTTTCAAAATTATTTTTATGATCTTATAATTGAACGATAAGTTTAAATCGTGTTATTACCTTAAGAACGTAACAAATATTGTTGGGTTGCTGCATCTTTTTGTATATCAAAAGGATTTATTTATCATTTTAATTGAAATTTTGTATTAAGTTGTTTACTGAAACAGAGAAATTTTTTTTGAATTTGGAACCGGATTATAGATAGTGTTGTTCAGCATTAACATATTCATGATCAGGCTGACGTCGAAGGAAATTCTGTTGAGAACAGGTAAGGATCTAAAAGTACGATCACAAACGTATTTATGGAATCCTGAGAATAGTTCGCATATAAAAGCTACCAAGCTAGGCCTCTGAAAATCAAATCGATACATGTATTGTTTCTATCAAAAGCTCGGAACACTTGATTCTCGGCAAAATACGAAGCGACTTCAAGAACTCCTACAAGAGGCCTTAAAATTGGACTAGAACTGAACTAGAACTGAACTAGAACTGAACTAGAACTGGAACTGAACTAGAACTGAACTAGAACTGAACTAGAACTGAACTAGAACTGAACTAGAACTGAACTAGAACTGAACTAGAACTGAACTAGAACTGAACTAGAACTGAACTAGAACTGAACTAGAACTGAACTAGAACTGAACTAGAACTGAACTAGAACTGAACTAGAACTGAACTAGACTGAACTAGAACTGAACTAGAACTGAACTAGAACTGAACTAGAACTGAACTAGAACTGAACTAGAACTGAACTAGAACTGAACTAGAACTGACTAGAACTGAACTAGAACTGACTAGAACTGAACTAGAACTGACTAGAACTGAACTAGAACTGAACTAGAACTGAACTAGAACTGAACTAGAACTGAACTAGAACTGAACTAGAACTGAACTAGAACTGAACTAGAACTGACTAGAACTGAACTAGAACTGAACTTGAACTGAACTAAAACTGAACTAGAACTGAACTAGAACTGAATTAGAACTGAATTAGAACTGAACTTGAACTGAACTAGAACTGAACTAGAACTGAACTAAAGTTTTCGTTATTGGTCTATATCCAAATGGCACGTTTAGCTTTTATGAAGTATCAGTACCCTAAAATTTCCAACACAATAAATAATGTCTTAAACCTAATTCCGACGATATAAAACTAGATTGTTAAACAAATTTAATAACAAGGAATATGCTTATCTTTCAGGCCTAAAGTAAGTATTATTTATGTACTCCTCCTACTAAGCATTTATTTGAAATGTCTTTATATGACAACTTTAAGTTCAAGTTTATTTTTCTTGCTTTTTATAAAATCTCATACACTCTTTTCCAACAATTTTACTTGTTTTCTAAAGCACGTGCTAAAGTTACAATATTAATTGATTTTTGAGTGTTTCCTATTTCACATACTTAAACAGGAAGCCATAGACGTACTGCAAAATACTGGTACTATTGTACTTTTTTCTTTTGTATTATAAACACACTTCACATTCAAAGCCCCTAAGTTTAAAGTTAAAGAAATGAAGCGAAAAAAAGAGAAAAGTGTGAGTTTTATAGAAAAAGGGTCGGTCGCATAAAACTGTGATTTTTTTAATACAAAGTTGACATAAGAAAGACTGTCCGTCCGTCCGTAGGTCCTTCCATTTCATTGTATTTAGTACATGTCTATCTTGGTATTTATATCATTATCAAGAAATTCCTTTGAAATGCAATAAAATACAACACCAACCTTCATTCGCACCACAGCACCAACTACCCAAAAAAAAGGGGGAAGAAACTTTATGTTAAAGATGTTAAAATAAATTTCTTTTTAATTTAATTAGTTTCACATTACACCACGATCCACCACCAATAACACAAACAACAGCGTCATTATCATCAGTAACACCAACTCTCCAACAATATCGAGGAAACACCATTACCAACCACACCACTGCCATCATAAACTTTAAAAATATTTAACACTCAAAAATTAATATACATAAATTTAGCTGTTATACAGCGTTTGTATGTTTGAATGAACGAACGAACGAACGAACGTTTGTATTTAGTCTTGTAAAGCAGTGCAGTAGATTTCGCCCTCAATAATTCCCAGGGCTTAAATATACAACAACAACAGCAACTACTCAAATGAGGAGCCTTCAAGACAAGCTTTCAGTGTGTTCATTTGTTATTGTTTTGTGTGGTATTTTTTTAGTTTAGTCGTACAAATGTACGAAACGAAATTACGAAAAGAAAAAATAAACAACAAAGACACAAACAAATCAGGTAAATATGGTTAAAAATACATGGTTGTGGAGAGAGGTTTAATACGAACTGTAATGAGCGATAATAACTTTACAATTTCGTATGAATAGATTAGCGATATGCTAAAATTTGAACACAAAATTTTTATAACTTTAGGGAAAAATTTTTAAATTTTAGACTATAGACTAGACTATAGATAATCTATAATAATCTATAGTCTAGTCTATAGACTAGACTATAGACTAGACTATAGACTAGACTATAGACTAGACTATAGACTAGACTAGACTATAGACTAGACTATAGGACTAGACTATAGACTAGACTATAGACTAGACTATAGACTAGACTATAGACTAGACTATAGACTAGACTATAGACTAGACTATAGACTAGACTATAGACTAGACTATAGACTAGACTATAGACTAGACTATAGACTAGACTATAGACTAGACTATAGACTAGACTATAGACTAGACTATAGACTAGACTATCGAATAGACTACTATAGACTCGACTAAGACTAAGACAAGAACTAGACTATAGACTATACTATAGACTAGACTATAGACTAGACTATAGACTAGACTATAGACTAGACTATAGACTAGACTATGACTAGACTATAGCTAGACCTAATAGACTATAGACTACTATAGACTAGACTTAGACTAACTATAGACTAGACTATAGACTAGAAGACTATAGACTAGACTATAGACTAGACTATAGACTAGACTATAGACTAGACTATATAGACTAGACTATAGACTAGACTATAGACTAGACATAGACTTAGACTAGAGACTAGACTATAGACTAGACTATAGACTAGACTATAGACTAGACTATAGATAGACTATAGACTAGACTATAGACTAGACTATAGACTACAACTAGACTATAACTAGACATAGACTAGACTATAGACTGACTATAGACTAGACTATGACTAGACGACGAGACTAGACTATAGATAGACTATAGATAGACTATAGACTAGACTAACTAAGACTGACATAGACTATAGCCTAGACTATACTAGACTATAGACTAGACTATAGACTACTATAGACTAACTAGACTAGACTAGATAATCTAGACTAGACTATAGACTAGACTATAGACTAGACTATAGACTAGACTATAGACTATATAGACTATAGACTAGACTATAGACTAGACTATAGACTAGACTATAGACTAGACTATAGACTAGATAGACTAGACTATAGACTAGACTATAGACTAGACTATAGACTAGACTATAGACTAGACTATAGACTAGACTATAGACTAGACTATAGACTAGACTATAGACTAGACTATAGACTAGACTATAGACTAGACTATAGACTAGACTATAGACTAGACTATAGACTAGACTATAGACTAGACTATAGACTAGACTATAGACTAGACTATAGACTAGACTATAGACTAGACTATAGACTAGACTATAGACTAGACTATAGACTAGACTATAGACTAGACTATAGACTAGACTATAGACTAGACTATAGACTAGACTATAGACTAGACTATAGACTAGACTATAGACTAGACTATAGACTAGACTATAGACTAGACTATAGACTAGACTATAGACTAGACTATAGACTAGACTATAGACTAGACTATAGACTAGACTATAGACTAGACTATAGACTAGACTATAGACTAGACTATAGACTAGACTATAGACTAGACTATAGACTAGACTATAGACTAGACTATAGACTAGACTATAGACTAGACTATAGACTAGACTATAGACTAGACTATAGACTAGACTATAGACTAGACTATAGACTAGACTATAGACTAGACTATAGACTAGACTATAGACTAGACTATAGACTAGACTATAGACTAGACTATAGACTAGACTATAGACTAGACTATAGACTAGACTATAGACTAGACTATAGACTAGACTATAGACTAGACTATAGACTAGACTATAGACTAGACTATAGACTAGACTATAGACTAGACTATAGACTAGACTATAGACTAGACTATAGACTAGACTATAGACTAGACTATAGACTAGACTATAGACTAGACTATAGACTAGACTATAGACTAGACTATAGACTAGACTATAGACTAGACTATAGACTAGACTATAGACTAGACTATAGACTAGACTATAGACTAGACTATAGACTACACTATAGACTAGACTATAGACTAGACTATAGACTACACTATAGACTATACTATAGACTAGACTATAGACTAGACTATAGACTAGACTATAGACTAGACTATAGACTAG